AGAGATGGCACGCGTTAGCGCACAGTGACATCAGTTTACTACTTAAATACCTGGTCGTGGTTCGAATGTAGTCATATAAGACTTCCGTAATTTACTCGGGACCCTAACAGATCAGAAATACTTAACTCTCCTGAGGGCAGAGTTTTGCAGTTACAATGAACTGAGGAGTATTTGGGAGAATCGAGTCTGTTGGATACCTACCGCTAAGACAGCAGAGCCGGGTTTCTTACTCTATATTCAGATCAACAGACAAACAACTGGCACGGGGTTCTGACACCGTAATTGTCGGTCCGCTTCTCTGCGTCTCTTCTCTATACAGAAGTGCTGGACACAAAGTTGCCATATTTTGAGTAGTTCTGGGTGAAGATCTGGCGCACATGACTACCGTTCTTACTAGACTACCTGCCTGAATCCTGGTCATAGTTTGCATCGTGCAAAATTCTCTGTTTCGGCTGCTTACAACAAAAGTATGTAACCCGAAAAGGTTGCCAGGGTTCTTCATCCTAACAAACCACCAAAAACAACCTAGAAGCCAGATGTCAGACTAGCCTGTTCAGCTAAACGACACTGAGTGCACTTTTAAGACGAAATGAATGGTCGTGACCCGACCCAAAGAATAGGAACTCAATGATTTCAACACATTCGCCACAGCTAACAGATACTCACAGTGAGAGAAGGGGAAATAGTGGATGAAGGAGGAATCGATTGTTAGCTTACCGGAAGCACCCTGAAGTGCCTACACCTCCAGACCTGGAAAGAATCTGACAACACGAAAGCCACTGGACATCGATTAACCGCTAATTCCCACATAAGCTAAAGGGGTTGAACGGCAGTGAAGCATCAGTGCCAACACTGATGTTGCTGTCTTTGATGATGATGATGAAAGGGGTTTATAGAACCTCATCCAGAAAAGCGGAGAGCACCAACAACATCAAAAGTATTCACAGCCTCGACAAATAAATTCATTTGCATATCCATTTGGTTTTCACGGGAGACTCAACTGAATCTCTCGTTTATGATATTCTTCAACAGAATGCGCTACACAAAGGCCACCTCAGGTAACGGTTGGTATGATGAAGCTTCTACAATCTTGTGGGTAGTTTCCTAAATGAAAATAGATTGCGATACAACGAATATCGCACCAACTGAAGCATGAGACGGCCTTTGCGGAGCACATTCAGTTGCATCTCACTGGATCTTAAGGGTCATGTGTACCAGGCTACAGTAAGGGCTGTGTTGTTGTATGGGTGCGAGACATGGCCTCTCCGGACATGATGTGAGGCGTCTTCAAGCTTTTGACCACCTCAGAAGCGTGGCTGGTTGTGGATGGCGTCAGCGTGTCAGTGACGAGGCAATTAGAAAACGGGTATTTGGTTGTGCTGCAGGCACCTCAATCCGAGAAAAAATCCAGCATCATCGACTGCGATGGCTCGGTCATGTGCTGTTGTTCTCCGTGCCTCCTTCAGGATGGCGCGAACCGCGAGGTGGACAGCACATGACCTGGCAGAAATGCGTCAAGGAGATCGCGAAGAGTTTGGGTGTTGTGCGACTTCCAGGATGGGGTTCCCGTGACCCCGTCTGTGCTTGGCTGAAAACGTTGCAAGAAATGGCGGTTAATCGATGTCAGTGGCGTTCGTACTGTCAGTTTCTTTCCAGATTGATTGAGCGGTTGGAGGTGTAGGTATCTCAGTATGCTTGACATAGGCCAACACTAGGTTCCGTCCCTCATCCACTCTTTTTCTCTTCACTGTAGGGCTTTTAATACAGTTATATATATATATATATATATATATATATATATATAGACGAACCTCATGGTTGTACGAAAGTAAAGCATCATTGCTAACACTGATCTTACTGTCCTTGATGATGATGATGTTTCTTAACTCCACGACGCTGGCTTGCACTTCAGTTGCCTGAAAAAATCATGAACAAGACTCAGCTGAGCCCCCCGTGGAAACCAAATTGATACGCAAGTGAGTGTAGTTTTTCGGAAGCTGTCCAATTTGGGTTCAAGTAGAACATGAGTTCAACGGAAACTAGGGGTCTGCGGCTACCTGATGAGCTCCCAAGGAGGGTGGAACCGGTCGTGGGCTATCAAAGGGTTTTCAGCAAACTTCTGAGTCTCCTTTGCTGCAGTCTCTTTCACGTCCTCCTACGAAGTGACACGCTATCAAATCGACAGTTTGCATTATTGTGAAGGAGGTAAGGAAAACAACATTAGTCTGGGTGGATGACGATTCAGGAAGAGTAGAACATTGCCGGGCCACCGCATTTGACGGTGTTGGATGTTTTCTGCAACTGAAGTACCTGCTACAAAACCAAATACCCGGTTTCTGATTACCTGGGTGCTAATCCGTTGAGGCCGTCCGACACCACAAGGCTTCCGAGACACCGTTGGTCAACCACCTGAAGATGCTTCACATCTATCTCGCTGAGTTTGTTCATCGGGGTCACAGGCCAACAGAATATTCAAAGTTCTTCGTGCGACCTGTGTGGAAAGCGGTCCGTACGGTCATCGCCACGTATCGCTTCACCACAGGGATACTTTCTACCCCCACATCAAACTTTCTATACCTCCGAACGTGTACACTGACGTCCTGATTAGACATGACTTTCTTGATAATCATAAGAGTTTTGAAACCCAGCATGATGTGGTCTGACTACTGTACATATAAGCTCTCCATGGCTTTTCGGACATTTTGGTCCTGGTCGTTGGCAAACAACCACTAAAGACAGGTGACTTTATCCGCCCTGAACTTCATCAGCTGCTCGAAGGTGGTATCACCGGACCATCACGATCACTATGGACAGCGCAAGTGCTGGTTGTTGCCAATGCACGTTAGAAGATGCTTACAGTTATAGCATACAGTCAACCGACAAACTATTTCCCCGATCTTGACACTTATCCATTAGCCCGGACGGTTGAAAATATCTTCTATTTTTTTCAACACACTTTATTTCGAAGGTTCCTACCATCGAGCTGCTATCGAAGGTAGAAAAATATGCTTTCGAAGCTTGTGACAATCATTATAACTTTTATCATATCACTCTAGTGTGAACGGTCCCTCTGTCCTCGTATTAGAGCTTATTCATGGCGTATGCCTTTGGCCGTGCTGAAGCTTGTCGTATTTCCTTCGGGGTCAAAAAATGAAGCAAACTATTCTCAGACAACTGAAGAATTCATACGACATGAAGATCTTAAAGAAACGCTT